AACAACAAAAAAAAAACGGGCGTAGACTGTGAGCACTGCGTGTGTGTGAAGTCCTTACAAAGATAGCAAGATGTATGTGTGTGTCTCCTTTTTCTCTGTGTTCCTCTGACAGTTTTAATCAGGCATGTTGCTGTTTTTGCATCAAAAATGCTGGGATATTAAAACAGTCATTTTATTTTATGTAAAAAATATATTAATCTGATTAATATACAAATAAAAACAGAATATTTAGCACTAGATAAAATAAAACATGAATTTATTTATTTTTTAATTTTTTTAAGAAATGCTGAAAGAAGAAATCCTGTATGGCAGCACTTCATACAGCCAGCATCAGACAAGGCTCATTTAATAAATGTTTTTGTTTGTTTGTTTTGTTTTAAATTGAGACCTGTGTAACGTTTATCATTCTTATTTTTGTCATGTTAATGGAGAAAGAAAAGGCAGTATCGGCTTCAAGAATCGGCCAAAAAAAATCGGCTGCACATATCAGCGTATCGGTTAGACTGATGTAAAAAAAATCTGTATCGGTATTGGCCTTCAAAAACCTGAATCTGTCGATCTCTACAGCTAATCCACGTTAACCAACACAAAATGGCTCTAATTTATCATTTTTTTTCTAAATATTATCTTCAGGTTTGAACTGAAATTACAGCTACATCTTCAAAAGGTGAAAGATGGCAGGAATTATGCATTCATTCAAGTAATGCTTTTAATTATTTTTAAATACACAACTTAAATTAAACTATTCATTGGCAAATGTCAAAATACTTGTTTTGGAACGAGCCTTATTTTGGCGCTGTTTGTATCCCAGCATGGCGGGATGAGCAAAACCTCACAAAAGTCATGGAGAAATGGAAACGATTATTTGTGGAGGAAATTGTCTCAGCTACCCAGTTTTTCACCTCCTGACCTGGTTTGTTTATCTTGCTGCCCCTATGGGGGTGTCCTGACTGTCAAGTTTGGTAACATTGCCCTGAAGACATCCACAAAGCTGTAAAAGCCACAAACAGGCCCCACGTTTCGAACTGCAAATGTTTAGTTTAAACTGTTTCCCTTTTGGGCCACATGTGACATGAGACGTGMTTTTTTTATAATGAATTATTTTGCACACCAGGTTAAATCCACAAAGCAGACGTTCGAGTGCTGCAAATCCCCAGTAAGTCGAGTCAGATCGTTGTCGACGTAGGGCGTTCCGGTCTGCCTCATTGTCTGATGTAGGTACGGACATTGGGGGTGATGATAGACCAGTGGTGCTCAATGGGACAGAGGGAGTGATTGATGATGCTTCAGTGAACCAAGTTCAGCCAACAATCTGTCACTGTCGTACAGAGTGAGCTCACTAAAGAGAGATAGAGTGCCTCTACAGAGTGCTCGTTGTGTTTACACCAAATCTAAGAGGATATATAGACAAGTAGAACGATTTTTTTCCCTTTTTTTAACAACTGTTTTCCATGATGATCTTTTTAGGTTCTAGATGTCTGATAAGTTGGTTCAACAAAGAAAGGCATTCTTCTTAAAAGCATTAATAAAGCAGTGTCTGGAGGGCAGGAAAACAGCTTTAGCTTCATTATTGTGAATTAGTAGTCGAGCCTTTGTATTGATTATTAGTTAACTTCAATTATCACATTAAACAGATTGTTGTGCAGTAYGAATTTGTAAGTTTGAACGTGCGATTCCCTAAATAGATTTTTGAGTCATAGCAAAATCAACTACATGAAAAAAAATGAGTGAAATATGATTTTAGATTCGATACCAGTCAGGTGACAGATTTACAGTTATGTTGAGACAAAAAAAAGTCCATGCTGCCTTTAGTTGAGTTGAAGTCTTCAAGCTGCAGTGACTGCCTGCAGCTCAAATATAAGACTGATGACTTTGTGGGTTTTACAGGGCCACAGGAGGACGGCCATGTTGAAGGCATGTGTGAAAACCGAGTTGCAGCACTGCAGGGCCTCAAGGCAGCACCAAAAACAACTAAGTTGTTAAAACTTCTTGAGGCTCCCTTACGCCCCATAAACAACAAAGAGATCCTCTTTTGTTGTTCGCCAGCTGCCTGCTAAAGCCTCGCTGTCTCTGACAAGTTTCAGCCATTGTAGTGACGTGATTTTACTTTTATGGCTAGCCAGCAAGCTAAAATGATTTTACCAGTAAGGCCGAAAGTGACAGAGTCCCGTTCCTCTGTCAAGCCTTGGTGGATCTTATTGCACTCTTTATGGCTGCGTGTAGGAGGAACAGGGTCGAAGATACTCCGCTGGGGTAGATAAAGATATCCAGGTGTGTTTAACTGCCCTCATCTCCTTTCTGTCTCTGTCCCGAGCACCCATCCATTAGAGTTCTGCCAGTTCCCTAATGTAGGCGTGTCAGCACCCCATGCAGGGTGGTTATTTAAAGCTTAAAGTAATGGTGATGCCCGCCTCCAGCTTTTGTGTTTCTGTGCTGATCACCGAGGACAATGAACCCCTCACAGTGCACGGACTAATGAATAAGCCCTCTCAGTCGCACAGGAAGGAGGCCCTTGATGAGAGGAAGCAGAGGGAGAGGGGCTGTTGACGGCAAGAGGTTGAGCCAAGTGCACACATCTCGTCTCATTCAGGAAGGGATGYTTGCCTTTGTAATCTGCCATGATGTTATCAGAACAACTTAACAACTGGAATGAGTGTGGCAGGGAAGATTCGCTGTACTTGAGCTTCTGGTTTTTTACAACGTGATAACACCAAGTTAAGTACAACAATTTAAACTGGGTTACTTTGTATCTAATCTTTGCGCTTATTGTTTTCCAAGTAAATAATGGCTTCAAAAACTGCTTACACACTCACTAAGCTTTGCGATGAAGTATTGCATCATTAAACCCAATCTGGACAGGAAAAGGACATTTTTATAGATACTTGCACATGCATAAAATCAGGTAGCATGTGCCTCAATACATTTATAGCTACTTCCTGTATTCAGTCAGTGTTTAACTAGAGTCTTTTTCTAACCTTTAGATACAGACGTATTTATAAGTAAAGTGAAATGTCTTCAGCGTGCAATGTTGTCCGAGCAGCACAGCTAYGACATATGAACACTGTGTACAGTAAGTGTGTTTGAAAGAACCAGTAGTAGGCATGGCCTTGTCTAGACCACAGTGCATTGCAAAACTGAGTGTGTGCTTTAGTATCTTTTAAAAAGCATCAATACTCTTTTCTTTTAGCTGAGTCTGTTTTTTATCACTCGCTACCAACGGGCAAAAGTGGAGCGTTGTTTTCGTGCTACATATATCTTGGTGCTATCACAACTTTTCATGTTATTAGTACAAAATGAGCTTTAATGAATCTGATCTCTGAAACGGTTGATTTAATACAGTATTTGGGTTAAAGATGTTGAGCTAAAGGTTAAAGTAGTAGCTGAGAGTCCTTCATAAATCTGAGCGTGACATCGCATGTTATTTTCAAGGTTTGACAGAAATGACTACAGCTCTGTCAGTCCTCACCATGAAACTTTTACATCAAAGGTGAAGAGTGACCTTTTATATTTTATTTTAGTTTTTCCCCTCAACTCAGAGTTTCTCGAGCTCTTTGCTGAGTCGTAATCATGACGCACGCACTGAGTCAGGCAGGCATTTGTGGCACAGTGCCCTTATTTCCCACTCTTGTTACATAAAGGAACGTACCAAATGAGACGAGGACAGGAGGGTGACCTCGACTGAACGCTCGCTTGCCTCACACATCTCAGCAAGCCCTGGCGGCAGAGAGCTGTTGCTCACACTTTCCCCTCAGTAAACAGACACATGTTTGAACAAAGATTCCTGACACGTGAGCTCCGAGCACTGTACAGTGTTGTTACAGCAGAAGGAGTGCTTCTTCCAGCAAAAATGTAGCTTGTGAAACTGATAAGTGTGATTAGAAAACTGTATCCTGGCTGAACAAACAATGTTAGTCACTGCCTGAAGCCTGTAATGTATTTGTTTTGCAAACCTCTCAGGATGGTTGTGGCAACTAAACGCTTTTTATTGCCTTTTCGCCTAGCTCGAGCAGAAGACTGAACCCGCTGTGTGTTTTCGCTCGTCTGCTTTACAGTAAACGGTTCCTGTGCAGCCAAGAGGTAAACGAGTGCAAGGAAGCTATCGTTGATATCCTGTCGGTGCAGCTGAGTGATTTGGTCCAGCGCTCTCAACAAGCCCACCACTTCCTGATAAAATATTGGCTCTTTTTTTGTTTTTCTTCTTTTTTTTTCCCACACATGCTCCTGCAATTCCTCGGGGATCAAAACTGATAGCAAGCTGCGTTTCTTTATATACTCCAAAACTGTTCTCAACTCTTAAATGATGTTACCATAGGGTGGAAAAGTCCTGCAGGACAGGCGGTTCACAATGGTGCTGGTGCATGCGCAAAAGGAGATCAGTACGTGTTGAAGTTATAAGAATCATAGCTTCTTTTTTAAAATGCTGATTTGCCTCAGTCATGGGAGAACTTGGGGAGTTCTTACATTGTGAGTGTTGCACAAGTCGTTCTGAGTCCAATCTTAGTTCAGCTCCTGCTGCTGTGAAATGGAGTTCTGGTATGCAACAGAGGAATGCATGTGCTTGTGGTTTGGCTGTTGCAGATGCTCAGTGGTAGCTGAGTGGGTGGCACCGTTTTATTAATGTTTATATTCTATGTTTTGCCTGTTTTGTTTACTTTTTCTCTGATTCTGTGTTTGTTGCGTTTTGAATTGGTGAATGTCTAAGTTGTTTTTTGACTCATGACTATAGACTTAATTCAGTAATTTTGCATTCAACAATATTTTGTATTATCTGCTTTAGTTTATCCAAATTAAACAAAGTTTTCAGAAGAAAAAAATCAAGATTTAACAAAAATTAAAGAATGCTGCTTTTCTCCTTTTACTTTCGCTAACTGTAGCATAATTTTTGACTGTTGTAATTTTTACTTAAGTTTTTTCTCTCTTTCTTTTTTAGATTTAATCAGAATAAATGTGAGCCTCTAACTCTAAAACTCTGCCCCCCCCCCCCCTCTCTCTCTCTTCAGCTGTGTTCATGTTGAGGAGCATCATGCTGTGGATATCGATGTTTACCACTGTCCCAACTGCGATGTCAAACACGGACCCTCCCTGAGTGAGTTATGTTCTCATTATTGACAGACTTCCTTTACTGTTTTCAATCTGTCTCCATCCCCCAGCCCTGACTTACAGCCTTGTATTGTCTTTATTAACCGTGTCTGTGTTGCACTGGTCCTGAGGGAAAGGACCACTCTGCAGTGTTAGTCAAGTGTGATTACTTGTTTTTTTTTTTTTTTTTTTTTAAAGAAGTTGGGGGTTGGGTTAACCTTTGCGAGCCCCGGGGGCAGACATTAGTCAGCTAATTGAATTGCGTTGTAAAGCAACTTTGATTAGACAGGCCCCTCCATATCTTGGCACAGGGGTTAAGTAGGGAATTTTTGTCCTTTATGAAAAGTGGTTGTAATTTGCATAATARTACCACTTTTTAAAAGCACTTTTCAAGTGTGGAGTGATTATGTGAATAAATTTTAATGGATAGGGGAAAAAACGGATCTAATTCCCCTTTCCAGTGAAAAAGCGCAACAACTGGCACAGGCACGACTACACGGAGCCAGACGATGGATCAAAACCAGTGCAGGCGGGGACTTTAGTGTTTGTCAAGAAGCTCCAGAGCAGAACCTTCCCCAGGTGTGTACCACATCAACYTATTAAATGCAACTCTTTGGTTAATGTTTTGCACCAATAAAAGTTGCATAAAATGATTTAAAAAGTAAAATATCAACCAGTAAAATGTCTCAGACAGCTCCTCGGTTAAAAATGTTTTCGTGTTTGTTGAACTTGCTTTGATGTGGTTTGCAGCGCCGAGGAGATTCTGATACGAATGAGGGGTGAACAAGTGACCACCCGATACCTGGAGAGACACGGCTTCAACTACCCAATCGCGATCACTGAGATGGAGGGCCTGGGCCTGAAACTACCCCCACCCACGTTCTCCGTCAAAGATGTGGTGCAGTATGTAGGTAAGAACATGTGATAATCAGCAGGTTGTGCGTATCAAATGCACCACAGCACATTACTGTTTCCCTTCTGGGAGTTGCGATGGCTCGGCGATATGAGCTACTGAAATGACCCGACACTGACCAGCAAAGTGGCCATATCTGAGCCGGCGCCATCTGTGTGCCAATATGAACAGGTTTGCAGGTTCATGAGGTTTTAACCCACTTATCAGGCATCAGGCGAAGCCTGGCTGGGCTCTAAATGAGTGACAGCTAGGCTTTCACTGGCCCTGTGCCCTACTGAACACAGCCTGCCACTTCCCAGCTCCTATTACAAGCCCATTACCAAGCCCACCAGTGTTTTTATCATTAAGTTCAGATTACAGACTCCGTCTCTCACTTATCACTTCCTCCGCCTGCCCTGTTGAGCTTTAAGCCAAGGCACAGGTGTTTTTAACCATGGTCTGGCTATCGAGTTGCGTTTCTTACAGCTAAAAGACACTTTGACAATAGAAGTAAACACGGATCTCTTCTGCTGCTTGTAAGGATTTCTAATCGCCTGTGCAATAAACTTGGTGTGTGGTCCAGCATAGATCTCAGAGTTGGATCCACATGAATGAAACTTGGAACAAAGCTTTAGTTTTCAAGTTAACATCAATTGAGTTGAACTATTAAAAAACTAAAATGGAGGGTACCACTATATTAGTTTAAAATGGTCTTTGCATATCATTTATTGCAATGATTTCTAAGATGATTTAAATTGTTTTTGTGACAAGCCTACAGGTTGTGTAGTTTTATAGTAAAGTCAAGAAGTAGCTTGTTTTTATTGTAAATTAAATGTAATTGACTAGAATGTATTCACTTCAGTTCAAACTAATGCTGCATAAGTTTCTGGTTCAAACACGTTGACAAAGATGTATTTGCAACAATTACCTTCATTAAACTGCCTTTTTAGGAATACATGGAGCTTCATGTAATGTAGCTGTGGTGGGACATCAGGAAGCTTGATTACATTTTATGCTGGCTCAGTAGGGCTGTAAATTGTGAACGTTTATGAAAGCTCTTTTTCTTGCTGTCTCTGTTTGTGGAGCTGGTGTTTGAGCTCTGCATTGTGGGGTTTCCTGGCAGCTTCGTGTGTCACTTTGTGACAGACTGCCTTTACTCCAGCTGTTCTCTGTCATCAGACGCTGGCCAGCTGGGCCTTCAGAGGTGTGTGTGTGTGTGTGTGTGGGTGGGTGGGTGGCAGGGAGAGAGTAAGAGAACATGCTAAGGGGTAATAAAAAGGTGTGTGGGAGGGTTGTGGAGAAAATACAACAGCCAGCTGTCTTTACACACACACACACACACATACACACGCGCACGCGCGCGCTGCACCTCGGTCCAACTTCCAGCTCCATGTGTCACTCGGTTGTGATTTGTAGCTCAACTGTTTCAACACAGTCATTTTTTCAGTTTTTTTTCTCTCTTATTGCTGCAGCTTCTGCACACACTTCCTCTCACATCTATACAAGTATCCCCCTGTCTGCACACACACGTCGCCCTCTCACCTCCACCCACTCCCCCTCCTCAGGGACTGGTGGTCTGGACAGATTGACAGATTGTCTCCCTTGCATCCCCTCCCTTTGCCGCCGCCTTGATGCCAGTTTCCCTCAGGGCTTGATCTTGAAAAGCACGAGGAGATGCCAGCAAGCTGTTGACCCCTCTGAACCTCTCGTCCACTTATCAGCCGATTTAAAAAAAATTAAATAAGTTTCATGGTTTTTATTCAACAGTTTCGATGTGAGCTTCTCTCTTGATGTTGCACAAACTTAAGAGGTCTTTGCTCCCGTCTAGGTGGTGACAAAGTTATCGACGTGATCGATGTGGCCCGGCAGGCTGACAGCAAGATGAAGCTCAGCGAGTTTATCAAGTATTTCACGAAACCCCACCGACCCAAGGTCCTCAATCTCATCAGCCTGGAGTTCTCTGACACCAAGTAAGACACGCTGAAAAACGGCTTCCAAAAGATAAAAATACATGACATTATGAGGTTTTTTTATGCTATTTGGGTTAAAAATCTGCAGTAAACTTTTACGTTTTTATGGCCTAACATCTCGCTTCCATTGAACCACCTGCAGGATGTCAGAGTTGGTAGAGGTTCCTGACGTGGCTAAGAAGATGTCCTGGGTGGAAAACTACTGGCCGGACGACTCGTTCTTCCCCAAACCCTTTGTCCAGAAGTATTGCCTTATGGGAGTTAAAGACAGCTACACTGATTTCCACATAGACTTTGGAGGAACCTCAGTCTGGTATCATGTTCTTTGGGTAAGGAGCTAAAAAAAAGCAGTGAATTTTGTGTCTTTTCTTTTCTCACTTGGTTAAATCATCTCACACTCTGGGTGCCACACTACAGAGCCATGGTGACAATTTGTTGGTCTGACATCTCGGCCGCAGCTAATGTTAGTTTATGATGGGAGGTGAAGTGGGTGGGTGTTGATAGGAAGTTCCTCATCGACGCTGTCACGCTCGGACACACCGTTCTGTCTGATTCACAGGGTGAGAAGATCTTCTACTTGATCAAACCCACTCCCGCCAACCTTGCACTATATGAGGCCTGGAGCTCCTCGCCCAATCAGAGCGAAGTGTTCTTCGGGGACAAGGTGGAGAAGTGCTACAAGTGTGTTGTTCCCCAAGGAACCACCCTGCTCATCCCTACAGGTTTGTGGGATTTGATCTGTTTTATTTGAGATTTTCTCTTTTTGGGTAAAGAATTCAGACTCTTGGAGTTGCATTGACTGAAGCGATATGAAGCAAAACTAGAGTGCACATCACTTTGTTATAATCCTAATAACGCCAGTTTGTGTCTATAAACGGTGCTTTAAAAAAAGCAATCGGTGTTTATGAATTCTTCCTGCAGGGATTTATGTAAGCTGTGTCAAACAGGAACTATAAACTCCAGCTGGTCAAAATAAAATGGCAAAATAGATAAACAACGTTACAACTGTGTAATAATATTGTCAAGAAGGAAGCATTGGAGAATGTCACCGTTTTTCGCACGAGCTCTGAGAACACTGCAGTCACCTTTTTCACACGTGCCAACAGGAAACTGTTGGTGTGACACGTTCTCACCAGAGCAGGACGATGCAAGAAGCAACTGTTTATTTTCTTTACAAGTGACAGACGAGGCTTAGAGCTATCCTATTCAGTATCAAAACTATGTATTTGTTTATATAAAGAGAAAAGCTACAAACAGGCAAAACAGTTTTTGACAATATTCAGATTTTTTTTTTCTGGGCTTTGTATGTTATACAGTGATAAATTCTGAACAAAATATGGACTTTAATGTTTTATTCAGCCCACCTGGGTAGCACTGTAGTGCACAGGACAGCTTTTATTATGTTCTTACACTTGGATCAATATGCTGTTTTTTTATTGGATTATATAGTAAAACTGCAGAGGAAAAGGATAGAAAGCAATAAAGGTTCATGCTAGGGTTGTGCAGTATTGATCCTTTTCATACCAACATATTATCTTTAGATAATACCGCAGTATACAGTATTACCGGAGCAGGTTGGAAAGGGGCTGAGCTTGTATGGTCTGTGGCATGTTGAGGTACTTTGTCCCAGTCTGGCCATCTCTCCATCGCCACCAAACTAACTTTTGCATCTTTTTATTTTCTTGTCAAATAACTTGGTCATGCATGCATTTATAATATATAAATGTCAAATGAATGTTCTTCTACTTGAATCTGAATTACAATGAAGCTCAAACAAACCAATCTAATCAGGTAGACTCAAGTTGTTTAAGTTMATTTAGACCAAGCTATGACATTTCACACAGATACAGCTACAGTGTTATGTAATTTTTACTGGTATGTTTTCTGTTTTGTTCCACCAACCCCATTTATTCAGAAATGAAATGTAACTTCCAGTAGTTTCTGCCAGGAAAAAGCTGATGTTTAGTTAAATGTTCATCATTGTCAAAGTAAAATAACAGAACAGGAATTCCTTCCTGAGAAACAACATTAAAAACAAAATGGAAAAATCAAAAGACGCTCTTATGTAAGATATTAAAAGTAGCTTTGTCCTGCATCAGCGTTCCCAGGTGTTATGAATCGTGACTGTTTTTTTAAAGGGTGCTTTGTGTTGTGTCGCTGAATATGACATCCTATTTAAATGTTGTTCAGTTATACGATTGTTCATCCATCAGCCTCTCAATGGACGTTTCAAACCGATCGTATTCCCTTTCACCCCCCTCTCCACCTCGCCCGAACAGAGACGAGGCTCAGTTCAGCCTGTCAGCTCCTGGACGTCTTCAATCAGTCTTCAGCTGAGGTTTCTCAGCAGGCTCGAGTCGCGGTGTGAAAGGGATTCTTTTTGGCAGAAAGGGTGTAGAGAGGTGGGAATTAAGAGGGGGTCAGGGAGCACAGTAGGTCAGTCGACCGCTGCATTATCAGGCTTGTCTATCAGTCTTACGACAACCCCCCCAGACTCTGCTTTCTCTCACTTTGTCTCGTATGAGGAGTGATTTTTCTGTTTGTTTTGTGGTGGGATGGATCACTTCAGCAGACAACTTCGTTTTCTGTTTCTGATAAGAAAAGAGAGGTTTTAGGACAACTTCTGTTGTAAATATCTACTCAAGCAGAACAGTTTCTTTTTTTTTAGTCTAGTCTTTGCTGCCTTCAGCTGCTGTCATGTTTTCATCTTTGAACCTCTGTGCTCTGCTGCCCTCTGCAGGCTGGATCCACGGTGTTCTCACCTCTCAGGATTGCATGGCATTTGGAGGGAACTTCCTTCACAACCTCAATATTGGCATGCAGCTCAGGTGAACACCTCTTGCCTCTCCTCGCTCTAGAAACTAATGCATTCATCGCTTCATCACTGAACTGCCTTTGTTTCATTCTACAGGTGTTATGAAATGGAGCGTCGTCTAAAAACTCCAGACCTCTTTAAGTTTCCGTACTTCGAGGCCATCTGTTGGTATGTGGCTAAAAACCTCCTTGAAATGCTAAAAGGTGAGCGCACAATGTGAACTAAAACATCACAACCTCACAGCTGTGAATATTTACCAGTAAGATAAATTATGTTTTGGCTTTTCCAGAGCTACGTGAAGATAGCTGTCCACCACCTACCTACCTTGTAAACGGAGTAAAGGCTTTAATCAGTGCTCTGAGGACTTGGTTAAAAAGAGAGGTGAGAGTCAGCAGCAGTGTTTGTGCACTCTGCACCAGTTTCTGCTCTGAGCTCCAGCAGGAGGTTCATCTGTCTTTATTTATTAAACATTAATTAAAACAACAAACAGGCTGTTCAGTTCTATCTGATGTGACCCTGCAGGTGACAGAGCCCTCGAGTGAGGTCCCAGATAACATCAGGCCTAACCATCTGATTAAGGAGCTGACCAAGGAAATCCGCTACGTGGAGGTAAGTGGACCATAACAATACAGAGTTAAGACTTTTACTCACTGTTGTACATTTTAACTGCATTTAGTTTTTTCCCTAAAATGCTATCTCATATTTAAATTTTCTACATTGTTTTACAAGTGATTACATGATCAGAACTATTGAGGTCCTATATTAGTTCTTATTGTTTTTTTATGGGATAAATCTTGTGCCTGCAGGAATTGAATTTGAATTGCTCAGATTGAATCTGAATGTGCGTAATTTGAAATTGAATGCACTGGTTTGAAAATAAATTTCACTAAACTGAAACGGARTTTAATGATTTGAAACTGAATTTAAGGTTTTGAATTAGAATTAATTTGCTTTGAAACTGTACTTTGGTTTATTAAAAATTCAGTTTGACTAATTTCATTTTCAGTTCCATAATTCAGATTTTTGTGTCACACATCCTGGGATCTCATTTATAAACGATTGCGTGGAAACCATACTAAAAGTGAACGTACAGCCAAAAGGCAGAAATGGCGTACGCCAAAAAAAATTCAGATTTATAAAACTGTGCATATGCACGTTTCTGAGCATCTTTCCTTTATAAATCACAGCCGCACGTCGGAGTTTGCGCACGAGGTCCCGCCTCAGGTTCTACCCTCTACACGCCCACACTCAACCATAAGRTCCTCCTCAGGTTCTACCCTCTACACGCCCACACTCAACCATAAACAGTCAATGTAAAGTACCTCATGAATGTTAAGATGTATTTAAATCAGTCAGCTGATCAGTGCCAACAAAAGTGATTGGTTCAGACATGCTCCATCGTACGTCTGGAGGATGACAGGTGCTGACTGACAACTGCTCACATGAACAGATTGTCTGTAATTGACACAGATTTTCCCTCATTTTGCTTTAGAGTAATCTAACGATTTTTATAAAAAAAATAATCTCAGCTTCAAATAAATTTTCCCTCAGACCCTGCAGGACGATAAAAACAATAAAAATAAAATTAAATAAGTCAGATAAAATTAGAAGTAAGTCCACCGCTTTTCTCCTCGTCCTCTCCCCCTCCTGCCTGCTCTGTTATCCGCGGCAGAGCCTGCAGGACGATAAAAACAATAAAAATTAAATTAAATAAGTCAGATAAAATTAAAAGTAAGTCCACCGCTTTTCTCCTCGTCCTCTCCCCCTCCTGCCTGCTCTGTTATCCGTGGCAGACACCCCCGCCCCGCGTGCGCACACACACACACGCACGCAT